GTGGGCTAGTCTGCTTTTAATACTGGTCAATTACATGGGAGTCCAGCGACATAGCCATTACACCAACTGCTGGTCCCTGCTTTTAATACTTTTGAGGGAGGTTTGATTTCCTGTACTACAGCCTTCATCTCTAACAGCTACATTTGATTCTTTTTTATGGTGTGTATTTCCTCTTTCAGATCAGGCAAGAACTTCCTCACCTCCTGGAATTCCTTGTCTCTTTTCTCCTGCATCTTCTGGAGTTCATTATCTCTTAGCTCTTGCATCTTGTTTAGTTTTGTCAGTATGAATATTCTGAATTCTCTATCAGACACTTCCACGAATTCCATTGTACTGTCTGTGGATGATGAGGGATTGTTCTTCTCCCTTGGGGGAGAGATATTTTCTTGGTTTCTCATATTTCTTGTGCCTCTGCGGTGGTTTCTGGTCATTCTGTGACAAATCTCTCCTCTACTGTGTTTTGCAATATGATATCCACAGAAAGAGATTATGAATTCAGATTTATAAGAAGTTTCTTCCTTAAAGCAGGAGGTTCAATAAACGTTGAGGATTTCAAGCATCCTAAAAATATTCAGATGCTTGGCTACTGTGCACCTAGGCCTATCTAGACACTCAGTGTGTGGAGAGTGAAGAGCAAAGTGGGAAAGTAAGGTTTAAAAAAAAAAAAAAAGCAGAAAGAGATGAAAAGAAAAAAGAAAATGAAAGCTAGACAGAAACAACCAAAAAGGAGGAGAACAAAAAATATTTGTTTAAAGGTAAAAAATAAAAACTGCACAGCACACTGAACACACCTCAGATTTAAAATGGGTCTGAAATTAGCAAGAGAAAGAAGAGGACTGAGGTGAGAAGAAGTGGTTTAGAGGCCAGTAGGTGGTGTGGTTAAGGGCGCTGGACTCCCACATGACCGACCACAGTTTGCGTCCCGGACTTGGCAGCTTGCTTTCTCTCTCTCTCTCTCTCTCTCTCGCTCACTCTGTCCCTCTCTGCTCAAATGGAAATAGATGAATAAATAAATAAAATAAAATAATTATTAATAAAAAGAAGCGGCTTAAAAATTTTAAAAAATAAATAAATAATTTAAAGAGAGACAGACAGAGACAGAGGGAAGACAGAGGTCGTTCTACCTTGTCTAAGTGTTTTGGGAGTATAGAAGATGGAGTTTAGAGCATAGCTCCCCTGAACACACCAGGACACACCTCAGATTTAAAATGGGTCTTGTCTGAGTGTTTTTGGGGGGGTCTAGAAGATGTTTAGAATATCCCAAAATTAAATTTTTAAAAATTTTATTAGTATGTAGTAATTGTACATCTTCATGATAAGGCAATGTGATTTTTCAGTTCAAGAATATGATTGGGGACTAGCAGGTGGCATGGTGGTTGTGGCACTGGACTCCCACATGGCCAACTGCAATTTGAGTCCTGGACCTGGTAGCTTGCTTTCTCACTTTCTCTGTCTATCTGGTCAAATTAAATAATTAATAATAATATAATCAAACAAATCATTCTGGGGGACCAGCAGATGGCATAATGGTTACATCGCTGGACTCCCATGTAGTGGACCACGATTCGAATTCCAGACCTGGCGGCTTAAAACTCACTCCAGGTATATGTGCTTGCATGCCCAAAATCCTGACAGGAAAATGGAGGAGAAGGGGTTGCGGCATGGCCATCCTACCTTGGGAGGTGGTTTATTGCTATCTGTCTCTATGTCTCTGTCTCTCCAGTGAGTGCATGCACCCTATAGCAAAAATCTCTTTTTAAAAAAAATATATTATTTTTTAATATGACCAGAGAGAGACATGGAGAGAGAAAGAGAAAGGGAAAGTGAGAAAGCAAGGGCCAGGTCTGGGACTCAAACCGTGGCCGGCCAGCCATGTGGGAGTACAACACCTCAACCACCATGCCCCCTACTGGCCCCCAAAATCTCCTTTAAAAATAATAATAATAGGGGCTTGCATATGGCAGGGAAGTTAAGGGCACTGGTCTTCCACATGGCTGACTGTGGTTCGAGTCCTGGACCTGATGGCTTGCTTTCTCACTTTCCATCTCTCTCTCTCTCTCTCACTCTGTCCCTCTCTGGTCAAGTTAAAATAAATAAATAAAGTTAAATAAAATAATTATTTGTAATAATAATAATAATAATTCTGGGGCCAGCAGGTGGCATGGTGGTTAAGGCACTGGACACTCCCACATGGCCAACCACCATTCAAGTCCTGGACCTGGTGACTTGCTTTCCCACTTTCCCTCTTTGTCTCTTTTTGGTCAAATTAAAATGAATGAATGAATAAATAAAATTAAATAAATGATTCTCTAGCAATAGTAATAATCCTGGAAAAATAGAGAATATAATTATTAAATCAGAGTAGCTGTCAAACCTGACATCTTAGCCATTTGTCATCACTTCTGCTGGGAACATTCAAATCCTCTCTTTTAGTTACTTTAAGATACACAGCAAGTTGTTGCCATCTATATTCTCCCCACTTAAAAATTATATTTGAAGAATAAATCAACTTCCAGCCACCATTCTCAAATTAAAAAAAAATTATCTAACTTTATTTATTCATTCATTCATTCATTTAATTTGACCAGAGAGAGACAGAGAAAGAAGGAGAGAGAGAGAAAGAAAGTGAGAAAGCAAGCTACCAGGTTCGGGACTCGAACTGTAGTTGGCCATGTGGGAGCGTCCAGCTCCTTAACCACCGCATCACCTGCTCGTCCCCCACCATTCTCAAATTTAATGAAGTTGCCCTATACCTTTTTGCTTAAAAACATAAAATTAACATATTAGAGTCCTTTAAAAATTATAAACACTTTTTTTTTAGTTTTACTATAGGATACATGCACTCACCAAGGAGAGAGAGAGAAAGTAAGAAATCACCCCTTGGGAGGATGGCCATGCCACAGTCCTTTCTCCTCCATCTTCATCTCCATTTTGTGGATACACACACACACACACACGCACACACACACACACACAGCATGACTTTCAAGCCAGAGGTCCTGGACTCAGACCAAAATTGCATCATGTGGAATCCAGTTGCCTTAACTATCAAGCCACCTGTCAGCCCACAGACACTATTTTAAATAACAAACTGATTGCCCTGAATTTAACAGCAGGTGTTAATACTGTGGAGTTGTTTTATTATGTAATTTCAGTACCACATTCTAAATCTTCTTGGGACTTAAGGTATATACCCAAGTAAGGGAGTTAGATGTATCAACTCAGTTATGCTGAAGTTATGACTTGAAAATTCAAGGCCATGAGATGTTAAAGTTTGGGTCAGAGATTCAAAGATTGAAAGTTGGGGTTTGTTTATAGACTGCTTCTATGGAGACTTTTTTTCAGGTTTCAATGATTGATTGGTTTTAGTTCATTTCATTTTCTTTCTTTCTCTTTTCTTTTCTTTCTTTTTCTTTTTTTTTTTTTTTAATTTGCTAGAGAGCAAGTGTTTTGCCAGAGAGAGACAGAGAGGGGAGGAGAAAGTACCTGGCAATGAGGTGTGGTCACACCACAATTCCTTCTCCTCCATGTCTCCACCCTGTTGGGATTTTGGATACACACGTTCACATGCCAAGTGCGTTTCTCGGGCCCTTAGATTTGGAACTCGAATGTGGTCAGTCATATGGGATCCAGCACCCTTCACCAGTAGGCTGTGGGTCCCACCCAACAGTTAATATTTTTATTGCCCAGGTGAATTTTTATTCTAGATTCTTCTTGTCCACCGTCCAACCTCTATACCACAATGCCATCTAATGATAGTCGCACATTCTATTAGTCTAGGGTTACTCAGCCTTGGCACTCGACATTTTGGGTGAGTTCATTCATTGAGGGGGTTGTCTGTGCATTGCAGGGCTTAACATCATCCTTGGCTTCTACTCGCTAGAAGCCAGCAGCACTGTACACAACCTCCCTGTCCCCTGCTCACTGTGATCACTAAAATGTCTCTAGATGTTACCAAGTGTCTACTAGAAAACAAATCTCAGTTGAGAAATCCTGTCTCAAACCCAGGGTCCTGCACATCTTGCCTCCTTTTGTTTGGCCCTTATTGAAAGTCTTTATAGTCAAGACCATGAGGTGACATGGTCGTTAAGGCTCTAGACTCCCACATGGCCAACTGTGGTTCAAATCCCCAACCTGGCAGCTTGGGGATTACACCTGGTGTGTGTGTGTGTGTGTGTGTGTGTGTGTGCCCAAAATCCCAAGAGAATAATGGAGAAGGGATTGCGGTATGGCCATCCCTTCTGGTAGGGATGGTTTGTCACTTTCCCTCTCACTCTCTCTCTCTCTGTCTTTCCAGTAAGTAAATGTGCCCTATGGCGGAGGAAAAAAAAAATCCTTAAAGAATAACTAAACAAGAAAGTATTTATAGCAACAAATTGGAAGGAAGTCAAGATCAGCTTGTGGACAGTCTTGAATGTCACACTGAGAGATTTGTACTTAATCTTGTAGGCAGTCCAGGGCCATCAGTAGTTCCTGAGGGCCTGACCTGATGACTCTGCTGGTACATTACATATGTTCTCTGTACTCCATGCAGAGCACTCGTGAGAAGGGCACAGGACTCAGGGAGATCAACTCACTGGCTCGTTTCACATAACTGGTCAGTGGTAGATTCAGACTGTGATCGGAAACTTGTGCCCATTCCTTTCCCTCCCTAGCAGTTAGACCAATGTCATTCATCCAGCTGGCTTCCCCATTTTTTACAAATAATTATTGTATTTAACTTTATTTATTTATTTGAGTTTGATCAAAGAGAGACAGAGTGAGTGAGAGAGAGAGAAAGTAAGAAAGCAAGCCGCCAGGTCTGGGACTCAAACAACAGTCAGGCCATGTGGGAGTCCAGCACTCTTAACCACCATGCCACCTGCCCACCCCTGGTGTCCCCATTTTATGGTGAATGCTGCTGGTTGTTGTTACTCAGACTATAGCAGCAGACAGAATAACAGCCAAGACGGGACCGGGAGACAGATGGGAAAATGACACGGTGGTCTCTTGTTCTCCAGGTGGGACAGCTGCAGCTCTCCCACAACATGAGCTTCGTCATTCTGGTGCCTCAGAACCTGAAACTCCGCCTTGAAGACATGGAGCAGGACCTCAGCCCTGCTGTCTTCAAGGCCATCATGAAGAAGCTGCAGTTGTCCAAGTTCCAGCCCACTCTCCTGATGATGCCCCGCCTCAAAGTGAAGCCCAGCCATAACATGCTGTCAGTCATGGAGAAACTGGGTGAGCCTTATAGCTCCGAGTTACTCCCAGACTGTTAGAGGAGAAAGGAAGAGGGGTCTCTAAAATGGGATCAGCGTTCTTTAGAGTTCAAGTCCTGGACCTGGTGACTTGTTTTATCTCTCTCTTTTTCTCTCTCTCTGATGAGTACACATGTTCTATAACAAACATAAAAATAATAATAATAATAATAATAATAATAAATAGGGACCAGCAGATGGCGTAAGGGTTAGTTGCTGGACTCCTACATGGCCAACTGCAGTTCGAGTCCCAGACCCGGCTGCTTGAAACTCACACTGGGCACATATGCATGTATGCCCAAAATCTTGAGAGGAGAATGGAAGAGAAGGGGTACTCTTTTTTATCTTTTAAAAATTATTTTACTTCATTTATTTATGTATTTATTTTAATTTGACCACAAAGGGACAGAGGAGAGAGAGAGAAGAAAAGTGAGAAAGCAAGCTGCTGAGTCCAGGACTCAAACCATGGTCTGCCACATGGGAGTCTAGCTCCCTTAACCACTATGCCACCTGCCGGCCCCTCTCTGTACTCTTTCTTTTTAAAAAAAATTATTTTATTTAACTTTATTTATTTATTTATTTATTTTAATTTGGCCAGAGAGGGACAGAGCAAAAGAGAGAAAGAAAGAGAGATGGAAAGCGAGAAAGCAAGTCACCAGGTCTGGGACTTGAACTGTGGTCAGCCACATGGGAGTCCAGCACCCCTAACCACCACGCCACCTCTTGGTTTTCCTCTCTGTACTCTTATACAACGCCTTTGGCCACTGACTATGGGGATGTTTCCCCACACCAAGCAGTTCTCCAGTTCTCTGCAGAACACAAACTAGGTGTCCTATGATTCATTTCAATGTGGACACTACCCAGCATTAGCATCAGCTCCTGTAGGGTAAGGGCTCTAGTCCCATAAATCTGTCCCCAGTTCAGACATCAGTGACAAAACTTGGTTGTCACCCGTGTTTCTGACCGAGCAACTCTAAACCAGAGGTTCCCGTGACCCCTTCTAGGGTTCCATCACTTGCTGAAATGGCTGACTAAACGCACTGAAATTCTCGTATTTACTAGTTTATGGTATATTAAAGGCTGTGATAAAGGACACAGGCCAACAGCCAGGTGAAGAGGTACATGGGGCAGAGTCCAGAAGGGTCCTGGGCCCAGAGCTCTGTCCTGTCGAGGTGGGGTATGGCCATCCTCCTTTCACAAGGCTGTGTTCGCTAACCTGGAAGGTCTCCCTGAACCTTGTACTTTAGGGACTGTTGAGGAAGCTTCATCATGTAGGCATAATGGATTATTAACTCAGCCTCCTGCCTCTCTCCCCATTCTGGAGAATGGGGGAGGGCTCAAACTTCTCAGTTTCTAACCATGGCTTGGTCTTTCAGTGACTGCCCACCATCCAGGAGCGGCCCAGAGTGTCTTCAGGAACTGGGGTCAAAGACCAGATGTTAGAACAAGAACAAAAGATACTCCTAGCAGCCCTATTGCTTAGGAAATCACAAGGGTTTTAGGACCTCTGTGGCAGATACACACACACACACACACACACACACACACACACACATATTTCCCATTATTTCACACCCTTGTAAGGTGATCTCATTTTATTTTAGTTTAGGTTTTTGCCATATGGTGCCTACATTCACCTGAGAGAGAGAAGAAAAGGGAGAAATCACCCCCCCACCCCACCCCCGGGGCAATAGCCATGCCGCAATCCCTTCTCCTCCATGCTTTTCTTGGGATTTGGGGCACGCAGGCACATGCACCCAGCATGATTTTTCAGGCTGCCAGGTTCAGGACTCAAGCTCAGTTGGCCATATGGGAGTCCAATGTCTCTGTTATCTCATTTTATAACACATCATCTGCCTCTTATGTGTTCCCTCGTTTCCAAGGGCTTGGAAACAAGGAAGCCATGACATGATCTTTCAAAGGTTTTTGAGAGTGTTGGGGGCAAGGCCTCTTCCCTCTTGAGAGTGGTGGTCAGGCTCACCGAGGGTGTAATATCTAATGTGATAAAGGAGGGAGAGGGAGGAAGAGCAGCGGGACAAAGGACTAACCCACAAAGCTCCCAACGACGCGCTAGCCCAGCCTCGAGTTTCATGCTGACGCTTTGTTCTTCTCTGGTTTTGCCTCAGAATTCTTTGACTTTTCTTATGACTCCAACCTGTGCGGGCTGACGGAGGACCCAGACCTTCAGGTTTCCGCGATGGAGCACCAGGCCGTGCTGGAGCTGACCGAGACCGGGGTGGAAGCCGCTGCGGCCACCGCCGTCTCTGTAGCTCGCAACTTGCTGATCTTCCACGTGCAGCAGCCCTTCCTCTTCCTGCTCTGGGACCAGAAGCACCAGTTCCCGGTCTTTATGGGACGGGTGTACGACCCCAGGGCCTGAGACCGGCAGGGGCCAGGGGAGGGCAAGCTTCAGTCTCCCAGTTGCAACCCTGCGCTGCCTGCCTGGACTTGCCCCCAGCCACCTCCTGCCTCAGCTGTCCTCTGTCCTCCGCCTGGAGGGCTCCCTCGGGTCTGCTTCTATTCAGCCTTTCTTCCTAGCCCTATTATCACCCCAAACCACTGCGTGCGGTTTTCTCTGGTTCCTGTTCACCAGACCCTACAAATAAAACCTGGCAGAACATGACTTCCTCCTTCACTGACCTTTTGCTATCAGGTGCTTCAATACGCGGGTTCTTCAAAAAGTTCATGAAAAACGTTTTATGAAAATGCTATGCGTGGGGGCCAGCAGGTGGTGTGGTGGTTAGAGCATTGGACTCCCACATGACCGACCATGGTTCGAGTCCCAGACCTGGTGGCTTGCTTTCTCACTTTCTCTCTCTCTCTCTGTTCTCTGGTCAAATGAAAATGAATCAATAAAATAAATAAAGCTAATAATTCTTTTAAAAAGGAAAAGAAAATACTATGCATGGATTTAAATTTTTTGCTCCAAAATAGATTAGTACTTTGTGGGTTGTTTATTTTGTTTGTTTGTTTTTTTGTTGTTGTTGTTTTTTTTTAAGTTTTTGCCTTAGGGCACATGCACTGGCTGGAGAGGGAGAGGCAGACCCAGTAAGAAGGAAAGTGAGAAATCACACCCCTGGGGGATGGCCACGCCACAATCCATCCTTCTCCTGGAGTCTTGGGCACACACACACACACATGTGCCAGTGAAATTTTCAAGACACTGTGTCCAGGGCTCGAACTGTGATCAGCCATGTGAGAGTCCAGCACCCCTAACCACCACGCCACCTGCTGGCCCCTTATTATTTATTTTTAACTTCTTATAGTCATGAGAGAGAGGGAGAAAGTGAGAAAGCAAGCCACCAGGTCCAGGGCTCGAACCACGGTTCGCCATGTGGTAGTCTAGCACTTCAACCACCACACCACCTGCTAGCCCGGCTATGACTCTTAATTCTAAACTTGTGGCCACTCTCTTCTGTCCTTGCCCTTACTCTATCTTAAAATCCTGCCTTTGGGACCAGCAGTTGGTGTTGGGACTAGCAGTTAGCATAATGGCTATGTCCCTGGACTCCCATGTAGTCGACTAGTTCGAGTCCTGGACCCAGTGCCTTTAACTGGGCATGCTGGGCATGGGTGCATGCTTGCCCAAGATCCCAAGAATGGAGGAGAAGGGATTGAGGCATGGCCATCCCCCCCAGGGGGTGATTTCTCACTTTCTTTCTCTCTGTCTCTGTCTGGCGAGCGCACGTGCTCTATAGCAAAAACTCTCTCAAAAAAAAAAATACTGCCTTTTATTAATATTTTATTTATTTGTTTGAAATTCTTGTTTACTGAATGACTGGCATTCAGACACCATGCACTGAAGATGCAACAGTGATTTAAACCTAGTGCCTGGCTTCAAAATCTACATCCTGATGGGAGAGACAGGAAGCAGATTCTAACATAAGACTTCCTTTTATCTCTGAAGATGTTTCCAAGTGTGTTTTTCTCGTTTTTAACTCATAAGCTCACTGATGCTCCAGCTTTCGTCCTTCCCTCCTACCTCCCTCTCACTCCTCTCCTGTTCTCATCTCATCGTCTCTGCCTCCCATCTCAGTGTCTTTATTTCTCCCCACCTCCCTCCCTCGTGGTGTCTCTCTCTCCTGCCCCTTCCTTCTCTCCTTGTGAGATTCCAATTGATAAGATAACAGATCCAGCCCCTCCAAACTAGTCATCCTCACTCCCTCCCCAGCCCTCTCACCCACACATCAAACAGTCAGATTCCCAACCCCAATAACCCAGAGGTGTGTGCACTGCCCTGTGGTTACATATGGAGATTCAGCCGTCAGTCTACAGATATTAATCAAGCAACTGCTTGATAGAAAGATGTGATTTTCAGATAAGATCTCAACTCAGGACAAGGTAGTCCTGCCTGAGATGTTTCTGAAGGGTTGGCGTTTTCCTTAAAGCCGTCAAAGTCACCAGGGTGTGTGCTGTCTGGGGATGCCAAGATCAGGGCTGAATGGAAGATGCAAGGTCACCCACACTTCCAGTAAGCCTCAGCAGGCAAGCACATCATGGATTCTGATGACCATGCTGGTTTATTTCCCGAAGCCCAAGCATTGGTCCCCGTATCCTTTCTGGTTCATGCATGCTCTGTCTGTTAGGATTTCCGAAGAGAGGAGAAAGACCCTGGGCAGGTTTTCATGGCTTATTCCTTACACTGCCATTGACCTACTGTCACTTGGTTCTGGTCAGATTCTGCACTTCAGGCTTTGGCTCCCCAAGTGGACTGTTTCCAGGGTGGGACAGTCGGGGAAAGTCAATGCCAGGTCCCATCTCAGAGGACTTCCTTGATGCTCATCTTCCAGCCATGGTTGAGAACCAAACAAGAGTCATCGGGAATTGACTTGTAGTTCTGTGGCCATTGAGTGATCTCTAAATACACCAGTTTGGGACCATCAGATGGTGTAATGGTTACATTGCTGAACTCCCACGTAGCCGACCATGGTTCATCCTAGACCCAGAGACTTAAACTCATGCTAGGCATGTGTACGTGCATGCCCAAAGTCCCTAGAGGAGAATGGAGGAGAAGGGATTGTGATGTGGCCATGCCCCCTGCAGGGTGATTTCTTACTTGCTACCTCTATCTCGCTATGTCTCTTTGGAGAGAGCATGCACCCTATAGCAAAAATCTCTCTAAAATAAATGAATAAATATGGGGACCAGCAGTGGTGGTTAAGGGGCTGGACACCCCCACCTGGCTGGCCACAGTTCAACTCCCAGACCTGGTGGCTTGCTTTCTCATTTTCTCTCTCTCTCTGTATATGTCTCTCACTGGTCATATTAAAATAAATGAATGAATAAATAAAATAAAATTTAAAATAATCCTTTAAAAATATATACTAAGTTTGATTTGCAGAATAATCTCTATATGCCATTCTTTGTGCTCTCCAGAGAAACAGAACCAACAGGATATAAATAGATAAATTGAAAGAGACTTATAAGGGATATGTTGACAAGATTATGGAAACCAGGAAGTCTCACAACCTGCCTTCTGCAAGCTAGAGACCCAGGGAAGCTGGTGCTGTAGTTCCAGTCCCAGCCCAATGGCCTGACAGCCAGGATTGCCAATGGCTTAAGTCCCAGTCTGGCCAAGGCCCAAGAACAAGGAGCACCGATGTCCAAGGGCAGGAGAAGGTAGAAGCCCAGCTCAAGAAGAGAGAGAGAGAATTCTCCCTTCCTTTGACTTTCTGTTCTATTTAGGTTCTCTGTGGATTAGAAGATGCGCCTGTGCATTGCTGAGAATCTTCTCTGCTCAATGTTCTAATTCAAATGCTGATCTCTCCCAGAAACACCCTGACAAATAAAACCGGATATGTTTTGCAGCTATCTGGGCATTCCCTACCTCAATCAATTTGATACATAAACTTAACCATAATGACTTGCCATCTTAGTCTCCCAAGTCAGTCTGTTCGGAGTCCAGCAGATGGTGTAATGGTTATGTTTCTGGACCCCCATGGAGTGGATTGTGGTTCAAGTCCCAGATCCAGTGGCTTCAGACTCATATCAGACACATATGCATGCATGACCAAGAGGAGAACAGAGAAGGGACTGTGGTGTGGCCACCCCCCCACCCCGAGGTGATTTCTTGCTTTCTGTCTCTCTGTTGATTGCATGCTCCCTATAGCAAAAATCTAAGAAAGAAATAAAAGAGAGAAAAAAAAGAAAGAAAGAAAGAAAGAAAGAAAGAAAGAAAGAAAGAAAGAAAGAAAGAAAGAAAAGAAAGAAAAAAAGAGAAAGAAAGAAAGAAAAAGAGAGGTGGAAGGCAGGACCAGCAGATGGCAGAATGGTTATGTTGCTGGACTCCCACGTAGTTGACCACAGACCCAGTGACTTAAAACTCTCACCAGGCATGAGCATGCCCAAAGTCTTGAGAGGAGAAGGGATTGCAGTGTGGACATCCCCTGGGGGGTGATTTATCACTTTCTGTTTCTCTGCTTCTGTGGTGAGCGCACATGCCCTATAGCAAAAATTCACTCTAAAAAAAAAAAAAATAGTCAATTTGTTGGGCTGCTGGGAAGATGCCAGACTCCTATCTAGGCTGATCCCAGGCTAATTCTTATGTGAGGAACTATTAAAAGAAAAGTATTGGGGACCAGCAGGTGACGTGGTGGTTGGGGCACTGGACACTCCCACATAGCCAACTACAGTTCAAGTCCCAGACCTGGTGACTTGCTTTCTCACTTTCTCTCTCTCTATGTATCTCTCTCTGATCAAATTAAAATAAATAGGTGAATAAATAAACAAAATTAAATATACAATTCTTAAAAAGAAAAGTATCCCTCCCAACCAAATTCAGGAGGATCCCCCACTCCTTGAGGAGATACTGAAGTGATGAAGATAGTGCCCATCACCAATGTGAAATGCGAACAAGAAAACTCAGGAGGTGGACGGACAATGATGCCGACCAATGGTGGACATGGCACCTTGCGAATCTCTTTACCCCAGCCACACTGAGAACCAAGTTACATTATTTCTGTAAATGAAATGAGGAATGAAAACTCAGAGAGGGGAAGCAACTATCCAAAAGTCACACAGCTTTAAATTCCCACATTGCCTGAATTCAAATGTAGTCAGTAACTTATTTAACCAGACCTATCAAAGTGCCTAACGCTAAAAACAAAAACAAAACGGAAAACACACAAAGATCTATTGAATAAACAAGTCATTGAGTGAATGAATCGTCACATCCAAGTGGTGGGAAAGAGGACTTTTCTCTTTTTCATGATATAGGACAGGTATGTCTGAGAGCGGAAAGAGAGAGAGAGAGAAAGATGAACACCCTCCACAGGGTCTGGGCAGGATACTCTCCCCTTCCTCCAGCCCTCCAACCCTGCAACCCACCAGATCTCAGACACTTGCATACATAGCCAGCATATTTCAGGCTGATGGGGCCGAAGACTTGAACCACAAATGCCACGTGTGATTCAGCTTCTCCTGGGGCCACACACTACCACTGTGCCATGGAGCTGACCCAGAAAGAAGAAATTCTTACTCACATGAAAGAACACAAAATCTGGAAATAAAATTTAAATATTTCTGTCTTGAGACTTTTCTTCTAAGAGGGCATGTGTCACCTTTTTGTTTATTTGTTATTTAAAATGGCAAACATTTATTTAGCACAGGAGTCACTGGGTCAGG